TGTAGCTAAGGTCCACAATTATATACTCTCTTACTTATATTATTTATCATTTACTTTAAAAATACAAATAATTTTTTATACAAAACAGCTCACGTGCTAAACCAAAAGATATAAACATAAATACATTTGATGATTTAAACTACTGTTAGTTATACTTATTAGATTAATAAAGAGAAATTTTTATATTTCTAAACTTTTCAATATTAACTGATTTAATTATATTTATTACTTTTTGTGCAGTAAACCATATTAGGTATGATAATACAAAATCCACCACATATATAAGTCCACCACAGAATGAGAAATTTCGTCTTGATTACGCAGATGGCTGTGTGTTTGGGCCCTTGTCTATTGATGTAGTAATCGTAAGTCATCGTCAAGTAAATGGTCCGACTTAATTCTAATTATAGTCATAATCTATAAAAATTTTCTAAGGAACACATGTTGCTATTATTCTCAGAAAAAAACATACGCGGTTATATTTTATTAATATCAACATTTTGTAGGTTGCTGGCCTTAAGGTTGTATTCCAAATATTCGGAGAAACGACGGACTATTCAGCAAGATCCCTCTCCAATTCACAATTCGACGGTATCTTGGGGATGGGTTACCCCTCGTTGTCTCGCTTTCGAAAGATTCCTGGCTTTAACAACTTACCTGTCTTTAACAACCTACTCGAACAACACAAGGAGTTTCGACACGTTTTTGGTTTCTATCTAAATCGGTATGTATCTCTCCGTATGTCTCACGTGCATGTGTTTAAAACTATTTTTTTAATTATATATTTTGTCTTTTTATGCAATGCAAAATGCAAATGTATAATACAAAATTACACAACCTGTACAGAGATTTTTCGTCCGCGATGGGTGGTGAACTGATACTAGGTGGCTCCAATTTTGCTCATTACGAGGGCGAGTTTACGTATGTTAATGTTACTCACAAAGCATACTGGCAATTTACCATGGATAAGTACGTAGTTTTTTCTAAATTATATGTATGTCAACCACGGATCATACGCCAGCTAATTGACAATGCTATTGCACTATATAGGGTTCAAATAAACGGTAATAACTTATGCGCGAACGGCTGTCAAACTATTGTCGACACGGGCAACTCCCTGATAGCTGGACCACCGTTTGATATTGCAGTTATTAACAGAGAGATCGGTGTTAATGATGATGGAACAGTAAATAATAGATCCTTTTCGTTAATGGCAGCTTTCACAATTATCTTAAATAAATTATTGAAATAAATTAATAAATGTTTGATAAGTTACGGATTATTAATATGGATTACTAACATTAATCTTCGTTTAAAGGTGGACTGCAACGAGATTTCTAATTTGCCCGATATCAATTTCGTCCTAGGCGATAAGACGTTCAAGACTCACTGGTGAAGATTATATCTTTCAGGTAAAGAATATTGCTATATAAAGATTTAAATTGTTTTTAGAATAGAAATATCATGCCATGTTTAATATTTTGTAGTACATAGAAAACGGTAAGTGCACATCCGGCTTCATTGAACATTTTGTGACTAACGATGTGGAGTGGATTTTGGGCGATGTATTTATTAGCCGATACTATACTGAGTTTGACATGGAGAAAGACCGAATAGGATTCGCCTCTGTAAGATAAATGTTGATTGCCTTCTCATGAAGTTATCATTAAATATTAGAAAATTTAAATGACAATTAATCAACAAATAAGTTAAAGTTTTTTATAATATTGAATCGCATGTGCCTATTGGCCTGTAATTTTTATTTGTTATTATTTATGTGTTATGTTGTTAAATGAATACGTATATATATCAAAATTGGAACAAAGATATGCGATATTATTTCTACCAACGATTTGGTACATCTTGTTCTTTCAGCTGAACTATCGAATTGTTAGATATTGTGAATACAACTTGCAAATTTATTAAAATAAGGTATATATTTTTTACACTGTATAATATAATGAAGCATCGTATGTAAAAGTAATAAAGCTAGTCAATAAATAAACAAGTCAATAAATAAAACAGATGGCAGTTGTATGGAAGTCTCTCGATAATAGGAGAATAATCATTACAAAGATCTAATGTGCTTTTTTGAAAGTTGGTGCCATTTCTTTGTCTTTTAATGTAAAACATTTTGGAGATACTCATTTTAATGTATGTAATGAATTCTTTATATATTTAAGATTTTAACGTTATCCCAATCAAAAAAATTCATGTTGTTCAATCTGTGTTATAGTCTCTAATATTTTCTTAACATTAATTAAAAAATTATTGATGAAATTATCGAAAATGATTAATTGGTTCTACAAACTAACTTTCTCAGGGAGATATTTTATCTTTTCGCATCATTCCTTTTGTCAGAAAGAGAGCGCATATATTGGTTATCTCTAATTTGCTTTTATCTCCGTTCCGCATTACAAAGCTATTACTTCTTTTCTCTCGTCTTCTTTCCTTTGTAAAAGTCATCATCTTCGACTTTTTCACGCTTAAAGTCAAATTTCTTTTTTCAAAAAATCTTGTAAAGTTTTTCAGCAGTTTTCCCTCATCCCGTCCGCATCCCTCGGCCTCTTCTAAATCACGTTTGCGTTTCCGATAAAATCTTTTTTTTTTCTATTTTTTTTTTAATTATTCTACAAAAATTATAACGCAAATTTTATATGCTGCGTCAAGCAGCATATAATTTCTTAATAATTTACAGTTTTATTTTTAAATCCTTTTTTTATTATAGGTAAAATTACTTCTTTTTTCTAACTTCTTGGAAAACATTTCCTCTGTCTTGCTCTCTGAATGATTTCTAATAAATTAAATTTTAGATACCTTGTACAGTAAAATGCGCGTCACAGTAGTAGCCTGACTGACGGACCGCTGGGTCTTTAATGATTAATACGGGCGCGGTTCATCGAAATAATAAAATGTACAAAGAGAAGCATAAGAATTATAACTAGATCTTTCTTTTTATTTTATCTTACACTTTTTTTACTAGTTAGATTAATTACACATGCCTACAAAGTTTATTATTCCTTGCTAATAAGGAATCAATGTAAGGAGGAATCAATGCAATACATATATATAAATCGAACAGTTATCCATTTTTATTACTTTATTGACGGTTAGTGATTTATTATACATTTTTTCCCTATAAATTGCTGATTTTTTATTTAAAAAATTCGAAAACTTTAAAAGATACAATCTTTATCAAGAAGTACATATCTGTTACCCGTTTTGTGTTTCTATTACGTTTTTATTAATTTAACATATGGACTTTTGTCGCATAGACAACTTACCCTATTATCGGGGCTAGTTGGTCACAATGCAGCATGTTCGTATTTTACTTATTATAAAGAAACTATATGGTATAAAAGAGCGTTCCTGGCATGAAAATGTAGAGAAAGATGATAGAGAGAAGTGTTTTCTATCATATTAGTACTGTTTAATCATGATAATTAGTTGTTTAAACACTCAAATGCCGAAATTGTGAAAACAGTACCAACAAGCCCCGGTCTCCCGTATGCAGCACCGTTTTGCGAAAAAGTAAAACGGTAGCAAATTAAAATTATCTGTAAAGTAATTGTTCTTTCCAAAATAGTGAAATATATCTTAAAATATTTTATTAAACTGTTAATTAAATTGATAAGCACAGATTATATGTTACAAATATTATTTTACAAATAATTCCTTGAATATCCAGTATTCCTATATCTATAAGCATTCACAATGGTTTTTTATTTATTTATTTATTTATTTTTTATTATTATGGCCAATATCCGATCGGTCTCGTATTATAAAATTCTTGAAGGTTTAAATTTCTCTCGTTTCCCTTTCGCAACTTATTCCTTACGCCGAGATTATAACTCAATTTTTTAATGGACAATTTGTTGTTCTTAGAGCATCGAGTTTTAAACGAATAATACATTTTCTCGATTATCAAGATAAAAAGTGCCAGGACCATACTGGCCGCCACCATCACCAAAGTTGGCATTACATCGCTTAATTCGACCAAACCGTAATGTACCCCACTCGGATGATTCCTTCGTATGTGATACTTGTTCTTTAATTTATGTATAACGCCATTAAGCTGCAATTTCCGCAAGCTGAAAAATATGAAAATATATTTAAAGCATTTATTCTTGAAAAGGGAAAAGCAGTCGTAAGTATAGTTCTATCTGAATATTATAATACAACATTTCTTTTAATTTAATGATTTCAACAATATTAAAATTTAACGATATTCTCGCATTCTTAAATAAATATTTACAAGATCAAATATATGAAATTTATACCTTAAAAATTATTAAAAATTATATTTTTAATTTGTGATATTAATAAAATTCATTGATTTTTTATCACATGTATTAACAAACACTCAACTTATAAACATCAGACAATTACGTAGTACAATAAAGGATAGCAGTCTTCTAAACAATAAATGTATATTAAATGTTAAAATGTGTCTTTGTAAAAAAATATGTATATTTAGGACTTACTGGTAATTCATGAAGCCAGTGTAAGGATTTCCTTTCGTTAGAATTATCGCCAAATTGTCGATTCTTCCGGTCTCAATATATACGATTCTACACCGTATATAAATGTTAATAGCCTCTTTAAATATCTCCGTCGTGTAAAACGCTAACTTGTTTCTCTCGCAGAGCTGCGTAAGAATTGACATGAGAATGGACGACTTAACGAAACTTAACGTCGTTAATTTCATTATAATTAAGTAATATCGCTAACTTTCTTGAATCCCTCCGTCGTTGACAGCGGCAAATACTTTTCTTCTAACAATTCGTACATTTGCAGGAAAACGGGATCCTTGACGTGCTGCAAAATTGCATAGAGAGCATAATTGGAAAAAAAAAATTTTTTTCCAGTTAAGGTAAAAGGTGCCAATATTCGACCATATGTACCTATATCTGGACACCTTTATTATTTATATAAGTATAATAACGCGAATTAAAATCAAAGATAAAAATATTTCTTCTTGTAGTTTGAAACTTTTGTTATACTATCCAAACGTTTTTCTCCATTTTATATTTTTTTAAAGGTATCCAGACATAGGTATGTGTCCAGGTATTGATACACGTATTATACTTTTAAGCGTCCGGGTATTGGTACCCTTACCTTTATAATAGGAATATGATCTCTTCTTTACGAACTTTTGCCAGTAATACTTACATTACACAAGAATAGGTACAAAAAAATTTAACAGTATATATTCTCTACAAAATTATTTCTTTAACGTTTAAAATTACTTTTTCTACAAAAAAATTACTAAACTTATACTTGTATATGTCATGGAAAATATTAATTTTATAATGCTTTTAAAATTTTCTCGGCTACAAAACTGTGCTTTTATTTGCGATCGAGCGCTTCAATCGAAATTACTATAACTGAAAAATTACTGTTGCGCAAGAATATAATTTCTGCGCTTTATAAGTAACGGCGAACTCACAGTAGGAACGTCATACTCGGCGCTATTTCGCAACACAATTAATTTGTAAGAGCCATCCTTAACGTAACCCTCCAAAGTGGAAAAAGGCAGTTTGGGCGTACAGAGCGCTAGGAAGCTGATCAACGAGGCGGAATAGATGGCCAGAATTACTATCGACGAAGCAGAAATCGAGAGAAAAGCCAGTCTCACCGGTGACTCGCTGGGAAATTCTTTGCATAAAATATACATGTGCATTATATTATGGTGCAAATTATACATATATATGTTTATATATACATACATACATACATATGTGTGTGTGTGTGTGTGTGTGTGTGTGTGTGTGTGTGTATACATGGCATATATATAGCCATATATTAGCATATATTAACACATATCTATACATTAATTGTTTAAAACGTGACTAATAATACAAAAAAATATTATGCTAGACAAATATTAAATATCTCTAGTAACGATAAAACGTTACCTGGCAAACCCTGCTGGCAATAAATACCCCAAACCTTAATATAGTTCTCGACCATTAGGTTCATCGAAAGGTATCCTTTTGTCTTCATGATAGTCAACAGAATAGAAGCGGTTATTATTGTCATTAATAATGTTATCCAAGTTCCAGAGCTGAATGCCTGGAATATTTATTGGTGAGGAAAAGCAGCATTTTAATCCACTAGACTTTGTTACCGTGAATCTTTAGCATAAATTATCTTAACACTATTTCTTTTCCCAAGATGTGATTAAACAATCTTAAGTAATTGTATTTTAAATTTACAAATAAACAGGATGATTAGATCTTTACGCAGTTTTAAAATTCTATCATTGCATAATTCTATCATTGTTATAAACGTTCTATTATTGTAACCAATATAATTAATATATATGTAATATATTAATTGATCCATACCAACTATTATAATGCACTTAATACTAATAATGTACAGGTACCGTTGATATAAAAATAATTATTACTTTTAAGTATAAAGACCATTCCACCAAGGCTGTGTTAGGCTCCTTAAAATAAAGGCGGTATCGCGAGCGTATCAATGGTATCGTATAGTCGATAACGTCTTGTCTGTGACTCATCATCGTGAATGCGGAGATGCCGATATCAGCTTCGTTGGCCACCAACTGGCCGATCGCACCTGTCCACACCTTCTTCTCTTTGCTCCAGGTACCGAATCCCTCTACCGGATCCAGAATCTCCACCGTGAAGTTCATCACTTTGCTGAGCTCTATCAGCAACAGACCGAAAAACCCGCCGACCGTACCGTTCTCGTGCGAGATCAGCGGCGAGTTCTTCATGCATATATCAACAGAATTGTCAAGTCAATTTACGCGAGTCTACGGATCTATAAATCATCGTCAAGAATTAATAAATAATCGTTCATATCATTGTAATATCGATTTCGTGGCAAATTGCGAGATAATTTTCTTTCAAGGCGACTATTTTCTAGAAGGTCCTCGCTCACGACCATTTTCCGATTCGCAAAAGAAGCAACGCACAACGGAGCTCGACAAAGAGCAAAACACTTACGATCACGGACGTAACGCGTACAACTTCGCCGAACATGTCGCTCCTTCTAGCGTAGAGGGACTTTCGCGTCCTTAAAAGTAAACCTCTATCGGGGGACCACAAGGCCAGGTCGAACGTTCTGGTGCGATTATCGCGAATGGCGTACCACTCGACTAGAATCGGGCGAGCGTAGCAGAGAACCAGCATCTGGGTGCTGAAGTCCACGTTGAATACGTTTTCGGTAGGATGTCTGCAGCGCTCCTCGAGAGGATTCCCAGGACGCTGAAGAAACATAACGAGCCAAATGGGAAAAGAGATGGGCTTTATGCTCCTCGTGGTCTCGGCGAACTCGCCCATGGTATCCTCGGTGTCGAGGAGAACGACAAACAACGGCTGTGTGACGTTCTTCCAGTACTCGTTGTACTCACTCCTCAGGTCCGAGAAAGTTATGGTCACGGTCATGACTCGGTGTCGTGAGAATTCGCGCGACCACGTGTACACCAATGTCGTCGTGTTCAAATCTGCAATATTCACATTAAAATGGTATTATATTTTACTTGTTGTCAGAATTAAATGCTCTCTAAATCATAACTGCATTTAATTTCTTCAAGGATAAAAGTTAGAAAAAAGTAACTTCATTTTTTTTATTTAATTACATTTTATTCAATTTAAATTTGTAACAATTAGATAAAAAAAAAATGATTTTTTAAATCGTATATAATAGAAATGAAATAAATTTGCACGTGAAATAATGATTCAACATTTGTTCGAAAATTCGCGGAAATGCAGTGAGAAAAATGATAACCGGAAACTGTTTCCGATATCTACTCACCGTAATTATTAGATCGTACGAAAATAACACACGACGTGCGATAATATCTGTGGACGTCGTTGATCAGTCGGAAATAATTGCTAATGCCTATACTCTCTGTCAGCAGTTTGGTGCTCAATATAAGGAAAAATATTGCGATCAATCGTGCTGTCGCGTATGTCATTTTGCGAAATGTAGATTAAACGGCTACTGTGTAAAAAATAAAATTCGATTTCACGCAGTTGGACACTGTTGCAATAAATAATTAACGTTTAATTCGGAATAATTATTTCTCTTGTGAACTAAAACGAACAGATAAAACTATAGAGAGACATAAGAAATCGGAATCCTAAATCCTACTAAAGACAATAGTGAATCGCGGAGTTCTTTATCGAAAAACCTCACAGCGGCTATTACTGCCTGAGGGTTAGAAACTTTTTTAAGGGTATTGCGATTCTTTCAAGGGCGAAACCGTGACTGAAGGGCGATCATCACATAGAAGAATTTATCGGATTTCAAGATCTAGGACTGTGCGCGAAAGAGTGTCACTGATTAATGTGATTTTTATCGGCGAATCATCAGCCAAACCGATGAATTATTCGCCATGGTTAAGCTCGCCGTAACTGACATTATACTTATCCGCGCATCGTCCACTTTGCTACTATTTCAAGTATATCGACGTATCTTATTAGTTTTCAATTCGATGCATAAAGACATAAAGATCAATGAATTTATTAAATGTGCATGTCTCGCAAAAGAGATGTAGTGTTGAGCATGAAAGAAATCTTCTTATGATATCCTTGATAATTTAATTATTTAAATATATTGTTTAATTTGATTTCTTATGTCGAATACCTTGAATGATTGTCAACGAAAATTGAACTTTGACTTTCAAAAAAAATTCTAAAACTGAAATTTTGTTTTCTTCTGTCGCTAGAAAAATGTTTTAAATTTTTATCTTATTTTAGTGTTATCACGTAAACATATATATATCACAATATAATAATTTAAATTTATCTATGTACTATATTTACTATGCTTAAAAAATTCAAAGTTGTTAAAAGTATTAATATTTAAATAATATTTCAAAAATTATTCAAGATCGCCAACGCAAGACTCGTAAGCCAGACATCTTTCCCATTTTATCGTTGGCAGAGTTAAATACATTTGAAAATATCGACGACATGTTTAATATGTTTAATTTTTAATACTTTTGTTAGAAGTAAATTATTTTGCGCTCACAAGGAGCCATGCGGCGTCCCCTTCTGAGCAAAATCCTCTCGGTGGTTTGCCATTGAATTCTGAGAGACCAGATCGAATAAATTTTTGGTCGGATTTTTGGTCAGATTTGAACTCGCACCTTCAGATGCACATCTCTCTGCGTCACGATTGTCACATTAATATTTAAATGTCTATTGCGATCTTAAAAAGCAACACACAATACATATTGTATACGATAATTGGCGTAAAGAAAATTTTAGGTGCTAAGAATAATTAATTGTCACAAGCACAAATATAATATACATAGTAAATTTTCTCTCAATTATTCTGCTTCTTGATAAACAGCTTTCTGACAGGATAAAAAACTTTCGGTTGAAATTTCTTTCTTTTCAACCGATAATGAATTTTCTCTATAATCAACACCATGATGCTTATAATAATGCCTCCGCAGAGAAACGCCAAAACTGGGGCGACGTTAACCAAGCGCACCGGCACGAAAGTCTTGTCTTCGGCCGATTGCGGCAAAAATCTCGTATCCTTCAAACGCGTCATCATACCGTTGTCCGAAAATTTCTGCAAACTGGTACACACGATATCATTTTTACAGCCGAAAGGTAAGGTTGAACGCAAAAAGGGAGAAGAGGATCTTTCGCGATACCCACTGATAATTTATCACGCCTGTGTATGGGTTGTTCTTGGACAGGACCATTCCTAAGTTGCCTATCCGTTCGGTATTGATGGACGACAGTTTACAGGGTATCCTCATTTCTACGGTTTTCTTCTCAGCGCTTAGCAGCATATAAGCAACCCTTCTCTCATTGCATACCTAAACAAACAGCGATACAAAGAACTTTTCAAGCATCACTCTGGAAGTAATCATTTCAATTTAAAAAAAAGATAACTAGAGTAATTTCTCATGGAGGTAAAAAATTAGGCAACTACATTGTTAAAATTGATTTCATATTGTACTCGTCTCGATGTCGTGCGTAAAAATACGAATTGTCAATCGTACTTGCATAAAACCATCCATTATATTTTCTGGCAGTTCCTGTTTGTCCTTCATTAATTTCATCAGTTTCACCGGGAAAGACGTCGGCTCCTTGTTTCTCGCCTGAAACTGTCGCGGAAACGACTTGTGACGCGCAAACCATTTATCACTTCATGTACCGTCAGCGTGAATAAAACCACACGGTAAATATTATTAAACGTGATTATGATTCCATATTACTGAATGCAACATGGTCTCTGACATAACTTCGATCGCTCAAAAGGTGTACTGGCAGAAGTGAAAGTCGAGTTTTCTCGATCGCCGAGTAAACTTACGGCGACTAAGTCGTAGTCGGCACTGCCGCGTAGAACGATTAATTTATAAGTGCCCGCGTCGACGAATTCTTCTATCGTCTGAAAGGGCAGAACGCGAGTGCACGCCGTTAGGAAGCAGACTAACGCCGCCGAATAGTGAGCCGCTACCAACACCGCTGTCAAAAATATCGTCAAGTACGCGATGCGCAGCGACGTTCTTCTCGGAAACTCTAGAGGAAAAAATTTACTTATAAGCTTTAGTTGTACTTTTAAAAAAGGAGAAAATAGAGTCCGAGATTAGTTTAATTAAAATAATTTATTTTGCTTTCTTTTCGTACTGAGAATAAAAGCGAGCAATCGTGATATTTTATAGCCGAATGTTTAATTAGAACTGCTTCGGAAATCGTGTTTATTATTATAAGATTTATAAGATAGGGTGATACCTTTAAGCGCCTGCTGGCAGAAGATACCCCAAATGCAGATAAAATTCTCAGAGATCAGTTCCATCATGCTTCCAGATTCACGGATTGTTTTCATGTAGGATAGGAGAAGCGGCGCGATCGCTATCAGCGTGACAATCGTAGCCCACGTGCACGAATTGAATGTCTGTCACGATCGTACGAATTCAGATATTAGGTCTAGTTCAAAATTAAATCAAGCTTACGCTATTTGAAAAAAAGCTATTCCAATATATTAAAAGAAGTCGCTAAAATTGTTATTACTTATTTTATGTTATACCTACTTCTCATTTGATAATTTACTTATTTATTAATTTGCATGCAAGTTAATATTGGAAACTGTAGTTTGATGTTTAAAACAGTTACTATTATATGTCTAACCAATTTAGAAAATATGATTCGTTTTATAAAAATATTAAATTAACTTTTATAATAATTGTAATATGTACATAAAATAAATATAAAATATTTTATAATAAATATACTTTTATAAAAGCATAAAAATGCAGAAAACAATTATATTATAGATTATTATCAGCTGCATAAATTGATCGAAAAATTACAATAATTATATTTAATTTTTTTAATGTGTTTGTAATACAAAGAAAATAAGGTGTAATCTGGGAATTTTTATCTTTCTGCTCATTTATTTCATTTTAGCGTTAGAGCAACGAAAAAAAATTGATGAGGCACGATTTAGGTGGCTGGACACATTAGACAACTCTCACTTATTATTTTCGTAGCGGCAATAACGAGATAAGGCTAAACGATGAACCCATATATAATTCAATCATATTACCTGAAAATAGCCGAGCCACTTGACGCCACATATCCCCGGTTCCTTGAAATACAGAGCGTTTCTGGATATGATCAAGGGCAGCGTGAAATCGACATAGCGTACCCGAAAGCTCGTCATCGACATATCGGCGATACCGAAATCCGCACGACCCGATACAAGCTCGCCCATCACTCCGGACCACGTCTGATTCTGTTCATCCCACATACCGTGCTCGCTCATTTGCGAGACGATCTTCAAGGTAAAGTTAAGAGAATACGTGAGCTCCTCCAATATTTTCCCGTACATGCTAGCCACGTAATTCCCAGCAAACTTTGTCATAACCGACGAACCCTGGATTTTTAACACCAATTAATTAAACAGAAAATCCGTGTCACAATTATTAATTTTATCGTACGAGTTGTAGAATTATAGTATATAATTTTATTACAATTATTACGTTTTTATGACATTAATTTATTACAAATTTTCTATTGTTAAAAAAATTGATATATATAATAATCTTTCTCAGAAACTGTATTATTTATATAATACTAATTATATTTTAGATTTGCATAATTCTAATTATATATTTATATAATACTAATTATATAATCTACATATATATATAATTCAATGTTACGACTGATTCATTAACGCACAGTCCAAATACCACAGTAACTCTAAACCTATAATAGAAACATGAAATTTGAGGAGTATATTCCTTCCATGGCGTAAACACTCACTAAGAAGCGATTTTTAGAAATTCGATCCCTAAGGGGGTGAAAAGGGGTAAAATGTGTTTTCGCGACTTTCTCAATATCTCTTGGGCCTGATGAGATATCGACTTGGTTTTTGGTTACAAAATTTACCCAAACAAGTGCTTAAAAACATAATTCAAGATTTTACTCTAATCATTTATCTATCTATCTATCTATATATATATATAATTCAATGTTACGGCTGACTCATCAACGCCCAGCTCAAACCCTTAAACCTAGAAACATGAAATTCGGTGAGTTATTCCTTCCATGACGTAAGCACCTACTAAGAAGGGATTTTTAGAAATTCAACTCCTAACGGGGTGAAAAGG